ATTTGGGGACTTTCTTCATGCAGTGCTCCAGGATTCACAGTGTTTTCATTGCCACAGGTGCTGGAGCGCTCGCGGGATGTGGTAGATGATGTTAGCGTGTCCTTGCGGCTCTGGGACACCTTTGGAGACCACCACAAAGACCGGCGCTTTGCATATGGCAGGTAGGGAAGAGGAGAACCCCATGCTGAGGTGGGAGGTTCCATCACCCAGATGGATCTTGACCCTTTTCCCCTCTCAGATCCGACGTCGTGGTTTTGTGCTTCTCCATCGCCAACCCCAACTCCCTGCACCATGTGAAGACCATGTGGTACCCGGAGATCAAACACTTCTGTCCCCGTGCGCCCGTCATCCTGGTGGGCTGCCAGCTGGACCTGCGCTACGCCGACCTGGAGGCCGTCAACCGGGCACGGCGTCCCTTGGCCAGGTGGGAGACGTGCGTGCCCCCAAATCCTTTCCCCTTGCCATGCATGCAAATGGGTCATAGAATCATAGAGCTGGAAGGGAGTCTGGTCCAACACCCTTACAGTGAACAGGGAAACCTACAGCTCGGTCAGTTGCTCAGTGCCCCATCCAGCCTGACCTTGGGTGTCTCCAGGGATGGGACGTCTTTTCATTATCTTCTTTATTATACGAGGTTTCTTCATCACTTTCGTTATTTCCTCTTCTCCAGGCCAATCAAACCCAATGAGATCCTTCCCCCAGAGAAGGGAAGGGAGGTGGCCAAAGAACTGGGGATCCCCTATTACGAGACGAGCGTGGTGGCCCAGTTTGGCATCAAGGATGTCTTTGACAACGCCATCCGTGCCGCCCTCATCTCCCGCCGTCACCTGCAGTTCTGGAAGTCCCATCTACGCAACGTGCAGCGGCCGCTCCTCCAAGCCCCCTTCCTGCCCCCCAGGCCCCCTCCGCCCATCATCGTGGTGCCGGATCCCCCGTCCAACAACGAGGAGCACCCGGCCCACCTCTTGGAGGACCCCCTGTGCGCGGACGTCATCCTGGTGCTGCAAGAGAAGATCAAAATCTACGCTCACAAGATCTACCTCTCCACCTCCTCCTCCAAGTTTTATGACCTGTTCCTCATGGACCTGAGCGAGGAGGACCAGCAGAGCAGTGCAGGGCATGGTTTTGGGGTTGCCGTCACCGCAGCGGCCGAGAGGATGCTGCACCAAGAGGAGAGGCATCACGGACGGGATTTCCTCCTCCGAGCTGCGAGCTTTGATATCTGTGAAAGCACCGAGGAGGGCGGCTCCGGCCAGCGAAAACCGTGCCTTAGAGCCTCCACCAGTGATGGGATCCTACGGGGGAACCGCTACGAGAACGGGGAACGCGGGCTGCGACGGGGACGGGACCTCTCCTCTTGGAGCCGGGCCTTCATCAGCATCCAGGAGGAGATGGCCGAAGACCCGTTGACTTACAAATCCAAGCTGATGGTGGTGGTGAAGATGGATGCTTCCATCCAACCTGGCCCTTTCCGGGCCGTGCTGAAGTATTTGTACACCGGGGAGCTGGATGAGAAGGAGCGGGACCTCATGCACATCGCTCACATCGCGGAGCTGCTGGAGGTGTTCGACCTCCGCATGATGGTGGCCAACATCCTCAACAACGAGGCGTTCATGAACCAGGAGATCACCAAAGCCTTCCACGTCCGGAGGACGAACCGGGTGAAGGAATGCCTGGCCAAGGGGACTTTCTCGGGTACGACCCCATCCCTTTCTCTCTTGCCCATACCAGTGCTCTGAAACGCCATGTGCTCCGCTTTCCTTGGGATTTTGGTTGTGCTCACATACAGGCGTTGTGTTTCTGGGTTTTTCACCTCCCAAGTGCCATCCCTGCAAGCACCACGTTCTCCCTCTAGTTGAATTGGTTCACATGGACAGACCAAGGGGGGCTGTGGGAGCCCTGGAACAACACAGGGTAGAGCAGAGCAGGGGACGCTTGTCCTTGGGAGGAGCAGGGAGGAGGATGGGGACATGCTCTGCAGTGTGTAGGTGAGGCTTTTCTCCCCGAGTTTTGCCCTTTGCTTTCCAACACGTCACTGTGCACCTTGGGAAAGCCCTCAGGCAGGGCTGTGCACGGTGCTGTGGATGACGTAGCCCTTCCCTGAGTTCCTTGGAGGGTGCTGGAAAACAAACACATCCTTAGGGCAGAGTACAGGGCCGTGCATTTGTCCTTCTGTCCATTTCCCGTTGGTGACTTGTGGTGGGGATGGCTGAGCCCTGTGTGACAGGGCCGCCCTTCTGCTCATTTGCAGATGTCACCTTTGTGCTGGATGACGGTGCTATCAGTGCCCACAAGCCCCTGCTCATCTCCAGCTGCGACTGGATGGCCGCGATGTTCGGCGGTCCCTTCGTGGAGAGCTCCACTAACGAGGTGAGGATACGCTCAGGGAGGGTTTGGGACAGCCATGGGGTGACAACTGGAATCATAGAAGCATTTTTGTTGGAAAAGACCTCCATGATCGTCAAGTCCAACTATCAACCCATCCCCACCGTGCCCATAGAATCATAGTGTCATAAAACTTGGAAAAGGCCTCCAAGATCAAGTCCAACTGTTGACCCGTCACCACCATTGGTGTGACTCTTGCAGGTGGCACTTCCTCACACCAGCAAGAGCTGCATGCGGGCCGTGCTGGAGTATCTTTACACTGGGCAGTTCAGCTCCAGCCCTGACCTCGATGACATGAAGCTCATCATCTTGGCCAACCGCCTCTGCCTGCCCCACCTGGTGGCTCTGACCGGTGAGTTGGTGTCCCCAAAGCTCGATGGCAGCTCTGTGGTCACCCCATCCCAACTGCCCCCCTAAGCCCCTGCGTGTCCCACAGAGCAGTACACCGTCACCGGGCTGATGGAAGCTGCGCAGATGATGGTGGACATCGATGGGGACGTGCTGGTGTTCCTGGAGCTGGCACAGGTAGGTGGGATGGGGCCTTGGGATGAACGAGGTGGGGGTGACACCGCCGCTGCACAGAGGACGGCAGGATTTGGTCCTTGATGCCCATGGGGATTGGGGACCTTGGGATGGGTGAGGTCCCCACGGTGGCTCCTGACACGTGCTCCATCTCCTGCAGTTCCACTGCGCCTACCAGCTCGCCGACTGGTGCCTCCACCACATCTGCACCAACTACAACAACGTCTGCCGCAAGTTTCCCCGCGACATGAAGGCCATGTCGGGAGGTGAGCGCGGTCGGTGCGGGGCGGTGGGGACGCTGGGGGCACCCAGCGCTGTGCTCACCCCCCCATGTCCCCGCAGAGAACCAGGAGTACTTCGAGAAGCACCGCTGGCCGCCGGTGTGGTACCTGAAGGAGGAGGACCACTACCAGCGGGCCAAGAAGGAGCGGGAGAAGGAAGACTACCTCCACCTCAAACGGCAGCCCAAGAGGCGGTGGCTCTTCTGGAACTCCCCTTCCTCTTCTCCTTCATCGTCAGCAGCCACAGCCTCCTCCTCTTCCTCCTCCTCCTCCTCCTCGGCTGTGGTTTGATCCTTGCTGCGGCTCCAGGAGATGAGGAGGAGGAGGAAGGTCGCCCAGCTCCGGTTGGGTGCCACCAATGGGTGCCCCGAGGAGATGGAGGGAGTGCATCCCCACAGCGAGGGCTCTGCTGTCCACATGCCAGCGCCGGGACTGGCACAAAGCAGCAGGAGAAAAGGTGACAGGAGCACGAGGGCTGTCTGGTTTTGTTTTCATTCATTCTTTCTTTCGAACATCAACCGCATGAGGAAGAAGAAGAGAAGCATCCTGCTTCCACCTTTCAGTTGTAACCAGGAGCTGCAGGGTAGGGTTGGGTTTTGTGGGATGCCATCCTGCTGCCCCTTGGACTTGCAGTAGGGTGAGGAGGGAGCCCAGTCCCCAGAGGACCAAGGAGAGGATCCTACTTGGCTGCAGGAGCCACGCACCGCAGCTCCATCCACTTCCATGGAGGGCTGTCCCAGTTTGGGCAACTGCTGGGAAAAGGAGCCCCTCTCCTCCACCTCTCCCCATGGAAAGTTTGGGCCTCAGCAGTGCAAGAGTGCACACGTTTCACCAAAAAGAAATTTGAAGCAAAAAAAAAAAAAAATTATATATATATATATATATAAGATCACCAAAAAAGCCAAAAGAAACCACCAACCCCCACCCCCAACACCCAACCCCACGCTCCCAGCCTGGGAGCCGAGCCTGGAAGGCTCCGTTGTAATAAATGCTATTTGAAAAGCCCAGCGTAGTCCCTGTGTGTTTGGGAGGAGTGGAGAAGCACCGCAAGGATGCAGCCCTTGAAAACTCAAAATCCCGTGGGAGTGATGCTCCTGGGTGATGCTCTGTGTCACCACTCTTTTTGGATGCTCAGCCGTGGATGCAGGAGCACAGGAGCAGATGCAGCGGGTGCAGTGCTTTGCAGCAGGTAGGATGAGGTTTTGTTCCCTTTTGGAAAGCATTCCCACCGTGCATGTCCTGCAGGAGCTGCCCCTGCTGGGTTTGCATGCAGAGCAAAGCGCCAGGCTGCTCCCCCCCTCCCCGTGCTGGTAGCTCCTGCTTTGGGTGCTTGCAATGAGAAATGCCCTGCATGTGATCCAGCAGGATGGCTGGGGGCAGCTCTGGGGTTTTTGCAAGCAACTGCATGGATTTGCATTGCAGCTCCAGCAGCACACAGCCTCTGTTTGCACCAGGGACCGAGCTTGCAGCCTCCTGCTTCTACAGGCAGCTAAAGAGCATGGGACACGTGGCAAAAGCAGCAGAAGTTTGCTGCTGAGGACATGCAGCAGCATTGCTGGTGGGGATGCAGAGCTCTGCGATGTCCGGGGCATGCAAAGCTAAAATGGAGCAATGTCAACGTAATGGCAAAGCAAAGGGGAAAAGGGATGAGGAATCAGGAGGGTTGTTACAATTTTTAAGTTTATTGTTCCTTCATAAAGACACGTGTAAAAGAAATCCTGGATAAAAATAACTGGCTGGGCCAGAGCTCTGTATAAAAACACACAGTCACGCATCGTTTAAAAAACAAAACAAACAAAAAAAAAACACAGCTATTTTTATATTATATTTTAAGTTAACGTATGTACGCGTTTACAATAAATACATAAATACAAAAGTTCTGCTGGTATTTGGCACAGGGGTGGAGAGGACGGAAAGGGGTGCAGAGGGGCTGCCCACAACCCTGTGCCCGCACAGGGGGAGCTCTTGGGGTTGGGTTGCAGCACCATCACCCAGCCAAGGCGTGCAGGAAGGCTGCAGCACCTCATCCCTGAGCTGTGTGTTGTCCCTGGAGGTGCAGGAGCAACTCAGCCAGCTGGGTGCCCTCACAGCCCTGGCGATGGGAATGAACCGACCCAGCTTCCACCACCCTTATCTCAGCAGCCTCAGTGCCAAGGAATCGCCCAGTCATAGAATGGTGGACTTGGGTTGGAAGGGACCTTGAGCATCATCTAGTTCCAACCCCACTGCTATAGACTTGTGTCTACTCCTAAGTGCAAGCAGAACTAGCTACAAATACAGTTCTAAATAGATCGTAGAGGGTAACCCAAGAGCCCCAGAGATGCTTGCCCACCACGCATGCAGTACTAAGCACGATGGTCGGCTCGGAGATGTTCTACAAGCAGAAGTATCACTAAAAAAATTAAAAAATTAAAAATGTTGATCCAGTTAGGACCAGTGAGTGCCCGCACCAAGCAAAGATGCAGTTCTGCACCGAGGTCTGTATAAAATCAGTGCTTGCAAATGAGATGATCATAAAGGCAGCTTGGAAGACCTTTTGGCTCATTGCGTTGGCCAAATGAAATCAAGGCACTCGCTTGGCTTCCATAAGGCAGCACCAAAGCTGAGTGTGGCAGAGAAGACCCCAATTTCTTCCCAATGGGATCGACTCCTCCAGGCTCAGCTGAACAGTGCGACGGCTCCGGGTGAAAGGAGCCGTGAGAATACTATCACAAAGATCAAGAGAAGGGTTCTCAGAGGAATTCACATCTTCAGCTCCAGATGGGGAGACGCAGGGCTGGCTGTGCTCCTCAGCTCATCTCATACTGGAAATATCCATCCCTAATGAGTTTGGAGGCAATTATGTCTGCCACGCCGCTGAGGTTGATCTGGGACAGGGCCTCCAGCAGTGTATTCACAGAGGCTTTGCTGCCTTCTTTGTTGAGCCACGTGTTGAGCATCTGACATAAGGGCTCCCCTGAGCTTCCGTTCTTCTGCTCTGCCTCATAAAGTTTGTTTTCCAGCAGACCGAGGACTCGGCCGAATCTCTTCCATTCAGGCAAGGGCACATGGTCGGCAAAGGTGTTGAAAGAGGAAGACAAAACTGGAACGAGAAGGGAGAAGCTCAGGGAATGTGGATATCTGGATTGGAAGAGCTTTCTCAGAGCCCTCAGGCTCTGCCCATCCCTGCCCACCAGCACATCCCAACACTTACCGGTTATGGGGTCCCCTCCTGGCACTGGAACCAGCTTCTTCTGGGTTTCCACATTGGGATTTGAAGTTGTTGGTGCCACCTCCTGAAAAAGGAACGTATTACAGCACCCAGAGAGCTCTGGCATGAGCACTGTCCCCCCACCCTGCTAACAGTGGGGTCAGGGAGCATCTCTGGGCACTGCTGGGGCAGGAGATTGCCACACAGCCCTGGGACACTCCTCAGTGGGGGTGATGGGTTCCTAACACTGGGATCACAGTAGCTCATGGGTGCTGGTCAGGGGGAGGTTTGCTCAGTACTGAGTGTGGAACGAAGAAGATTATGGGCATAGAACATCTCCGTGCCTATCTCCATCTCCATGCCCTCCTCCACCTCCATGCCCATCTCCATCTCCACGCCCATCTCCATGCAGACACCCTGGTTCAGCTCTGGAAGCCCTTGAGTTAATCAGAGGAAAGCAGAGGAAAGCAGCAGAGCTCAGCCATGCAAGGAGGAGCAGAGGGGCACAGTGCCATACATCCATCTCCACACCACTGAAGGGAAGCTCTGAGCCCTGCACTGTGGGGAGCAGTTGCTGCTGCTGCTGCTACTGCTGCTGATAGATCTGCTCATTGCAGTTGTTGTCCTGAATCCCCATCCGCTGCAACAGTCTGTTCTGCTGGGGGAAAAGTGCAGAGCAGCCAAGCTGGAGCCCCCCATCCTGGCAGTGGGGGCTGCAGGTGAACCACCCCCCCCTCACCACAGCATTCCCATGAGCTGCAAGCAAAACGAGGAGCAAGCAGAGCAAAGCCCAGCACAACTCACCACCATGGCGCTGGGCTTCCTGCACAGCTCTCCACCATTCCCTGGAAGAAAAAGCAGTGCTGTCACCCTTCTTCTCCACGGGACGTCCCCTTCCTGCCCACACCCTGTGGGGGGAGGACCCCCCATCTGTGGCCCATGATCCCCCTCACTTTTACGGCAGTAGATGCAGCAGAAACATGCGAACAGCAGCAGGAACACCAGGACCACAGCCATCACGATGATGACAATCATGTCTGCTAAAGTAGACAACATGGGGGTGTGGGGAGCTGCTGCCACAACAGCAGGTCCCAATCTCCATCCCTCACCCCTCCCAAACTCACTGGACATGCTGGAAATGTCCAAGAAAGGAGCGCACTGCAGGTCGCTGTGCTGCGTGCATGGAGCTATCCTCACTTCTCCTTTGGGGCACCTGGAATGGGGGATATGAGGTCAGGTTCAGCACCCAGGGATCCCCACAGCAGCCCAAGAGCTCCCCAGCTCCCAACTCACTGGGTTTGGCACTTTTGGCACATCTCACACGGGTGGTCAGGTAAGCAGAAGGTGCCATTCTTGCAAGCGCACTGCGTGTTCCTGGTGCGGATGCAGGGACTCACCTCCACCTCGTCTGTGGGCAAGAAACAACACAGCTCTGCTCAGGCTCTCCCATCTGCTCCCCAATGCAGCCAACAACCCACAAGCCCAGGGAAGCCCAGCTTGCTCCCCGGGGTGGAGTTTTGCCATGCCCACATGCCAAAGCAATGATTGCATTCAAGCTCTCACAGCAGCCTGCAAGCACCACCATGCACCCAACCCCCCCCAGTCCTTGCTGGAGGACTCACATCCCAGCTTTGCACAAGGGATGCTGTGCTGCGTGGAGATGCAGACCTGGATCCACTGCGTCATGTCAGGATGCAGCCTCCTCCCTCCATCCCAAGCACACCCAGCACGAGCTGCTCCTCAGGGTTGCTGCAGATGTCCTCACTCCTTATGCAGAAGCTTTGATAGCAACCCTCCCTCACACCACCTCATACCTTCCCTACACGTCCGGCAGCCCAGGCACTTGGAGAAGTCGTTTGGATGCTCGGTGTACTCATGTTCCTTACACGGGAGGCACTTGGAGGAGTCATTTGCCAAATAGGTGCCTGCAAGAAGGGGTGAAATGGAAAGAAGTTTGAGTTAATGCACCACATTGGAGACATGGTGCTGACCAGGCGTGGAGGTGTCTCTGCAGCAAGAGCTGATTCTGCTGTCATTGAGTTGCATGGAGTGATGCTTGTGACTGCCTTACCCATAGGACACTTATTGCTGTAGAGGTCTGGCTCCAGGACATCTGACTCGCCTCCCCAATTCTTCACTGCCACAGCAGATCCCAAATGAACGTTCTGTTAAAAACACGGGAAAAATGGGTTAGAAACACCCCAAATCCTTGGTGCAAAGGAGAAGCATCGCACCAGGACAGCCCGCAGCTGCCGGACCTGATTATGCCTGCTTTCCTTCCCCAATTTCTGAGCACGGGAACCAACAGAACGGAAGAAAGCAGCACGGTGCTGTGCAGGGATAATGAAGAGCAGCAAGGGAGGCGGTGGGGAGGAAGGTTGAGCTGCTCCCACCATTTCCACACCACTGGGGCCCCAGGACGGGGCACAGGGACACGTGGGCAACGGCAGCCAAGCAGAGGCACCGTACCTGCGTTGTGCCCTTGCCATTATCTGCCTCACAGAGCACATATTTCTTCCCTGAGTCAGAAATGCTGAAGCAGTACACCTCCAAGGCACTGCAGGAGCAGATATTGGCCCCCCCTCTTCCTCTTCCCACAAGGAAGGGTGTGGGCACTGACACAGCAAACAATGGCACGGAGGGGACACCTCCTAATGGAGGACGGAGCCCTGGGCTCACCATCAGCATTACTTTGAGAAAGCATTCCTGGAGCTCTCCACCTCCTCTGCATTGGGGCAGGGAGCAAGAAGAGAAATGAGAGCACCTCAGGTCTGGGGCAAAACGCCTGCCTGAGCTGTTTGGGTGTTTTTAAAGGACAAAAAGCCTTTTTCTGTCTAATGTAAATCCTTTGCCTTCCACCACCTCTGCAGTTTTTAGGGTTTCACCAAACCAAGACCTGTAAGTTTTCACGGATGGAGAGTGCACTGCCTGTCCTCACGGGGAAAAAAAGCTCCTTCTCCATTCAAACCCTGCCAAGTTGATTCACCAACACAACACAACCCGCCTGCCGTTTGGAAGGGCCCCCTCGGCTGTGGGATTTCATCACTATCACAAAACAGAACTGTGCACGATAACGCTACCAGCCTTCCCAGCCTGTATGGCAGCCCTGCAAAGCACCCAGGGCCAGAACCCACGTGTGCAGGAAATGTCCCCAGCACCGCGCTGGGGCAGAGGAACTGCCAGGCAGAGGAATCCAATATCCACATCCACTCAAAGCCACTGCAGCAAAACTCCGTGCATTTTCTTTTTTACCCAAGGGAAGAATCGGACCATCGCAGCACCGACCCCACAGTAGAACCCCACAGTTTCTCTATGGCATTAACACAACGTCAGAGCTCCATTTTGGGAAGAGAGGCTCTCAGCCCTGAACCACTTCCAGCCACACCAAAGGGGTTTTCCCACCGGGCTTTACACAGTTGGAGTTTGAGCTCTGGCAGATCCAGAGCCACTGCACACAATCCTCATGTGCTGGTGGCCCAACTCCAGGTATGATGCAACAGTGACCAAAGGAAGCGGCGCAGCATCGGGCGACAGTCATGTGCAGCACCGAGTTAAACAGTCAAATAAAGGGCTGTTCCAAATGTCTCCATGGGTGCTGGCATCAGCGAGGCTTTAAGATGCTGGAAAACAGCACCTCAATCATTGAATTCCTACAAGCTGCGCACGGTAGGAACCGGACAAGAAGCCGATGCTCTTTTAGGGTTGGATGGTGGGCACCTCACCAGGGTCTGAGAGCCTCTGTGAGGGCACAAATTCCAACCCAGCTCCCCCAACCTCGGGGATGCATTTCAGTGGAGTCAGGTGAGGTGAGGCTGTAGGTATGTCACGCTTTGGGCACCACCCATCCACGCAGGAACACGATCCATGCGTGGTGGAGTTTTGGCCCCGACTGCCACCAGCGCTGAGTTTTGGGCACCCATTATATGGGGTGATGTGATGCATTCCCGCACTGCACCTCCAGACCCCAATGCTGCTGAATGTTCCCGATGGCCACGGTGATGTCACACCGACAACAAAATGGCTCTCAAGCAAAAAGCGGGGAATTCCCTCCCAGCCAGGCAGCGCAGTAGGAATCCATCCCCCATACGGCGTGGCTTGTCGTCCCCGAGCCCCACACACCCATAGGGCTGATAGTTTATCCCATCGCCCCTCTGTGCCCCACAGCCTCAGCCCCACACACCCCTGTCCCCTACAAACGCACCCAGGTGAGCCCACCGCTCCCATCCCATGGGCCAGCTGAGCCCCCATAGCCCCAGCATTCCCTACAGCCCTCAGGCCAGCTAAGCGGCCCTATAGCCTCGCCACCCCTCTTATGGGGGCCAGGTGAGCCCCCACAGCCCCCGAGATCACGGGAGCCCTGCAGAGCCCTTTGACCAGGGGAGCCCCCCATAGTCCCTGCCCCTTCCATATCCACTGCCCCTTCCATAGCCCCTAGATCCGGGGAGCCCCTCTATGCCCTCGGCTCCCCCCATAGCGTCCGATCTGGGTGACCCCGACTCCCGGACTCCCCCCTGTCCAGAAATCCCCACTAAAGGAAAACTCCAACACTCCCCCATCGCCCCCCCCACTCCACGTGATCCCCTACACCCCCATTCCCACAGACTCCCACTTATTCCAACCCACTCCCTCGTATCCCCATCCCCCATAAAATCCCCCCATAAAAACACCCCCCTTGCCTCCCACCCCACTACTTCCCATACAAAAGCCATCCCCATCCCTACCTCTCCATAACCCCTCGACGGTGCGACAAGCCCGGACATGCCGCGACGACATCGGGCGACACCTCCGGGAATCCCGAGACCCCAAAACATCCCCTCGGTGTCCCCGACTGCCCCCCGACCCCCCGGCCCCCCTCCGAGCCCCCCTCACCCATCCACGCACCGCCAACAGCAGCTTCAGGACGGGGCAGAACCGGAGCGCAGCTGAGCGCATCGTGCGCTGCGCCCGGGCTGCGATCCGGATTCGCATCGAGTTAAGACAGGGTTTGGTCCAAAATGGGACGTGATCCGAACACGACGTGAATTCCACGAGCTGACAGCTTCGCTGGAGGGACGAGAAGAATGTGAGCAGGGACCGCCGAATGTGAGCAGTGACTTATGAGAAGGAGGAGGAGCAAAAGGAGGAGGAGGAGGAAGAGGGCTGGCCGCGACCTCCAGGCACCGCCGCAAACTCACTTATCGAGAAACCGAAGCAAGTTTCACTGCAGAATCACTAAAAGAGGGAAAGATGAACCTGGCTCACGTTTCACACGCTTTTGTTATTGCTTTGTTAGATTTTTATTATTATTATTTTTTAATACATATATAAAGGATTTTCGTGCGCAAACTTCTGTTCTTGAAGCTCTCGGGAGAGATGAGGGCTTTGCTCAGCATCTTCTCGCTGAGGTTCTTTGATACGGAGGGTGGGTTGTAGGGAGAGCAGAGCGGTGCAGAACGAACCCATCGTCACCACTGAGCCGGAAAATGGGGAATTCCAGATCGTTCTGGGGAGAAAAAATCAGTGAAGGGGGAAAAAACACACACAGAGAAAGAAAAACAACAGGAAAACCTCCGGACTTTCTGCTGTTAGACAACAAGATCTCGGCAGCGGGGTCATGTGGATGGGGTGGAAGAAAAACTACCCCAAAAGCAAAGCAGAGAAATGCAGTTCCCTTGTTTATCTTTCTCTAACCTTGAACTGTGGGCAAATGTAACTCACACCGAGCGCAGGCTTGCAAGAATTCCTGCGTCTGGGCTCCCTCCCTAGAGATGACTCACCAGGCTGTTCAATAACCCTTCAGTGGCAGATCCTTTTTAGGATTTTGTCCCAAGCAGAAAAATTGCATGTGAGAGCAGAGGCAGAAGGCTCGGGGTAGCAATAAATGGTGCAGCTCCGTGCATTGGGTGAGAGCGGGGCACGGTTGGCAGCTTGGGATGGAGGGGAAGGCAGCGATGCTCAGCAGCTGCAATGGGGCCAGCAGGGCTGCAGGTGACCGCTTGGGGTAGCTGGGAGCATCCCCTCAATGTGGCAGTGAATTGGAAATCCACCCCAAATCGTGCTCCCTGCAGACATCAGGGCTCATCCACGCCGAGTGCAATTCAACTCGAGTGTGATTTAAAGGAGAATGAATTAGTGGTTGTTTCCTGAGGCATTACAAACCCCAGAAGCATGCAGGGCCCTTTGCTTAACCAAACCCAATGACCTCACCCAGCTCAGGTCATGCAGCACTTTGCAGGCTGCTTATTTTCCCAGTTTGCTCGGAGCAAACGTTGCTCCCCAGCCCTGCACGTTCAGCAGGACTGGAAGGACCCACATCCCAACCTGCTGCTGTTTATGGGATGCCTTCCACACACACAGCATCCAGACATTCCCCCAGCTTTAAGCTGTTTGCTTGTTTTCTACACGTTCTTCCAGTTAACAGCAGGGACTTCGGTTCCCATTCTGAGCAGCACTTGCTTAATTTAGTGCTGAAAATAAGAACTGTTATCCATGCCAGCACTCAGGACCCGGACTCCTCATCCTCGCTAGGAAGCCACAGCCACAAACCTCTTATTTATAAAGCTGGACCAAGAATTATCCGTGCCAACAACCGCAGACGTCGTGTTTTTGCACAGCTCTGAACAAAGGCAGCTTTATGCTCGGCACGTGGGTGCTCACACAGCACATCGGGGCAGCAATGCTCTGCAGGCAGGGAGGGATACACACACACACACACATCACCCACCCACCCAGCCAGAATTTCCAGCCAGACATGCAGAACGTTTCCACGTAAGGCTGATTTGCACCGGATTCAGGCAGGAGAGGATTTATCAGCCCAGGACAGGCTGCTCTGTGTGCTTATCGCCTGCAGCCCGGCTCCTTGCAAACACAGAGAGGCTGCAGAGCAGAAGCACTGGGTGTGAGTTCAGTGCACTGCAATGGGGCACCTCATGGTTACACATCACCAAATTCTCACTCTTCCACAGCTCTGCTGCAGGTGGGAAATAAAACAAGTGCAAGGAGCACAGCTTGCCTCCAGGGAGCAGGGAAGGTGTGGGAGCAAAGCGGGAATTAATGACTCACAGATTGTGCCTGTCATAAAGGGCTGCATGGGACGCAGCCCCGCATGCTCTCCTGGCTAATGAACATTGATTTCATAATGTGGGGTGAGGGCAGCTCCTCCTCTCCCCTCCTCTCTCCTTCTCTCCCCTTTTCTCCCCTCTTCTCCCCTCCCCTCCCCAAGGGATTCAAAGCATTATCACAGAACCACAGAATGCCTTGGGAATCCATCCGATAATTCTGAACTTCCCTCTCTGGATAAAAACAGATTTGGCTCACAAATACCAGGTTCCTCTTTATAAGTGGAATAAGGGACTCATGGGCAGCCGGGCTGTGAACTCCATGAGAACAGAGCTTGGTTTCCCCCTGGGCAAGCTGCCGAGCCCTGGGTTCCCCATTTCCTTCTGCACAGCAGGATGCTTGGACTGCTCAACTCAGACCAACCCCCTTCCCTGCTCTCCCCATCCCTCCCCTTTTCCATCCTCTTTGAAAGCAGACTTAAAAGGTGCTTTGGGATGAGGGAGAGCCCCAGTGGGATGAAGGCTGCACTGCTGCAGGTTCCTTATCCCAGCTGAGCATCTGTACGCTTTGACACCACTGCGGAGCTCCGGCTCGGTGTGTCTGCGGTTGAAATGGTCAGCATTGCATAAAATCTCATCAAGTCCCTTCCCAGGGGGTTACAAAGCCCACTCAGTGCCCCAGAGCAGCCTGCAGCCCCCTGCTGCACCCCCCAGGCTCACCCCATAAACCTGAGGCCCTGCAAAGGGACCGAGCTGCTGTTGCTCCATCTCCTCGTGCCAATGCAAAACAAATTAGCCACCAATATCTTGAATCTTTCCTCCAAAAAAGCACTGGCACAGATACATTCTCCTGTCAAATACAACCCCATGTCCACTCTGTGCTGTTTTCCCACAGGTCAGGAGGGGATTTCTTGTGCAGGATGAGGACCATCACTTGGCTCCTTCCATAGGTGAACATGTGATGCCTCTCTCCAGCAGCCAAAGGTTCAAGGCTGGTTTTCCCAGGTGTTTAAACACAGCCCTGTGCGGTTCCTGTGATGAGGCCTTGTGGTCAGACCCCGTGTTTCAGTTTCCTGTCTGCAGTGTTTGCTTTGCTCTGCACTCTCCCTTGTGCAGAGTGGCTTTGGTTCCTGCTACTAATGGCTTCACAGTTACAAGGCAGTTTACTTTGAGGCCAACACCGAAATAACTAATTTGAAATCTCAGCTTGAGTGAAAGGAGGTAAAAATAGGCTCTGCTGAGTCATCTGCTAATTTAAAGCACAGATCAGAGCACGTTTAAAGGCTGCTACAGGACCTGCAGCACCCAAGAGAGCCATAGATGCCACAGCAAGCCCTCCAAAAGGGTCAGCTTTCATTCATCATTGCCACAGGTCAGGTAGGGCACAAGCAAACCATAAAGCAAAGCACAGTTTTCCAAACTGCACACACTGAGATATGGCAACTGACGATGAGCCTTCGTGCTTACTCACAGCCACAGACCTTAAAGGAGAACTGCATGCAGGATGCAGGGATTCAGTAAAGAGCGCAGCACCAAGGAGTTGCCAGGCTCCTGGAGCCTTCTGCCCAAATGCAGAGCTGCCCCTTTCTGTCGTGGGCAAGAATCAGCACATACAGCGAGTGCAGATATAGAAACAGCAAAAACTTGGCAGCTCTGCTTGAGGAACAGCCTCTGCCTCTTCTTTTTTTCACTCTGAAAATGTCACTCTCCCCAGGAAGAATCCCCTGGGAGCGATGGCACGCTGGCATTCAGTCACTGAGGATGGAAGAGACCTCCAGACCCCCAGTCCAACCCTAACCCATCCCCATTGACCAGGTGCCACATCCCACGGTTCCACACCGCCCCCAGAGGCAGTGCCACCTCCCCGGGCCGCCTGTGCTGATGCATTACCCCTCTTTATGAAGTTTTTTTTCCCTAAATACCCAATGTCAGCCTCTCCTCCCTCTCCCCCCCCACCCCCCCCAGGTCATTTCTCATCGTCCTATTGCTATATATTGGGATTCCTGGGCCCTACACGACCCACCCAGACTCAGAGCCACAGGGAGGGTCGATCTTAAAGCATTCTCACTGAGAGGGCAGTGAAAAGTTATTTCTGGAGAATGTGAGATGAATCTACTGTGCGCAGAACAGTGAGAACTACCAGCGCTGGGGGCCAACACAGCTTGGGGGCCGCGCTCAGCAACACCGTGCGCTGTTTACACGACATTAATCGGTGTTTTCAGGCGGTTGGAGGGGATCGCTGACCCAACCCTGAGAGGTTTTTGGGGTTTCCACGTGTGCAGCACGCTGCCCTCACACCCCCAGCCCTGCTGCAAGGCACTGCCGTGCCCCCCACAGGCTGCTCGCTCAGAGCAGCTCCCCAGAGCTGTGACTGACAGCCCAGAGCACGCTGCGAGCCCCACACCCCCGAACTTCCCCGCAGCCACCTGGAGGACAACGAAAATCCCCACTCTGCGCACCCCGCCACCCCCCAACTACCCAAAATGGCGGCCGCGCTCAAGGCGCATGCGCAGGGCCGTACCACGACTGGCGGTGCGGGGGGGAAGGGGGCGGCGCGGAGCGGCCCACACAAAGGACAGCGGTGGGGGGGAGCGGCGCGCATGCGCGTTGCGCGTTCCTGGCAGCCAGGCGGGTCCCGGCCGGGCGGAGGCCGCGGCGAAGCCGGGGGCTCGCGTAGATGTGCAGCCCGGGGAGGGCGCCCCCTGGGCCGGCCCCGGCGGGGGACCTGCCGCCCGAGTGGGAGACGGACGACGAGCGTATGGCTTTTCTCTTCTCGGCTTTTAAGCAGAGCCGCGAAGTGAACAGCACCGAGTGGGACAGCAAGATGGCCTTCTGGGTCGGGCTGGTGCTGGCCCGGGGCCGCCGCCGCGGTGCGGTTCGTACCTGTCTGCGAGAGCTGCAGAACGGCTTCGAGCGGCGGGGCAGCGTGCCGCTGGGCCTCGGCACCGTGCTGCGGGAGCTGCTCAGGTAGCGCGGGCTGCGGGCTGGGCCTCAGGGCCGGGCGGTGGGCAGCAGCCTGGAGCGGGG